GACTGAGTCCATTCTAGATGTCGGGTCAGTCCAGAACATAATTCAACATTCTTTAAATTCGTTTTACGTACTGATCACCAAAGTTAGTGATTGAGAGAAAATGAGAGAGGTTCTCATATTTAGGAGGAGTCTTAAATAGAAAGTCACATGTAGTATTAAGAAGAGAGACATTAACAAAGGTGTTAATCTAAGGACTATTTATACTAATACTATTGAGAGGTGAATTTCCTTTCTTGGGTTAGAAGTCCCCCCAAATATAGGTGACCGTTGCACCGAACTAGGTTAATAATAATTCTTTGTGTTCTTTATTGCTTTATGATTTATTTAGTATCTATTAATCTGTTATAAGAATGTTATACACATCGTCATAAACATTGTGTCTAACATCTTTCATACGAATAACAAAATTTCACTCGTGAAAGCACTTCGCTCATACACTACTCATCTTTGAGTGGTTATATATATGCTTGATTTCTTGATATACTTATGAAAGCCCCTTTCCAATTATACAACTCATCTTTGGAGACTGTGTAACATGTTAAGTTTCTTGACACTACTTTATGAAAACACTCCACCCTTACATGGCTCATGCTTGGGGCGTCGTGTACATTGATTTATTAATATGCCTTATGAAATCACTTCGCTGAAAACACTTCACCCTTACCCAAGTCATGTTTAAAAAGTCAAATACATGTCTAATTTCTTGATATATCTTATGAAAATACTTCACCTTTACACTACTCATACTTGAAAGAATGTGTGCGTGTGTGGTTTTTTGTTATAAATTTTAACATAAAAATCAAATATATTTTGTGAAAGATATTTTTAAAAGTAAAAAAACTAATAATTTTTTATTTAAAATTATTTTCTACAAAAATATCTTTTCAACAAGTTATATCAACAAGGTAAAAACATGGTTAAAAAATGTATAAAAAACCAATTTTAATAAAAAAAATAAAAAACATGACATACTTTCAGAAATTTACTGTTTATTGAGCAAGAAACAATCAAGGGCGAAGAAACGGCTGAAAAACGTTTCGCTATTTCACATAGTCCCCAAAACTGAAGAACGACGCATCATTTTCAGGGATCATCAAAACACGCAACAGTATTAGAAATCGCGGAAAGATCAAAAGTTAAAGGCATTGCAAATTTCACCGCGTCCGTGAAGATCGAAACATGGACGACGAATTGCTCGAGTTGCAGAGACAGTTCGAGTTCGCTCAACAAGCGAAGTCCAGTATTCGATTATCCGATCGAAACGTCGTTGAATTAGTCCAGAAATTGCAGCAACTTCAAGTCATCGATTTCGAGCTTCTTCACACTGCTTCCGGCAAAGAGTACATCACTCTCGTACGCTCTTTGCTTCGTCTTTTATTATTTTTTGCAATTAGGTTTAACGGATTTGATTCTTGATAATCGATTGTATTTTCTTGCTTTTAACCTAATTCATTGTGTTATAATTGATCTTAATCAAGTGTTTTGTTTATAACGTCGATAGGATCAACTGAGAAATGAGATGGTGACTGAGGTGAACAGATTAGGGCGAATTTCTGTGATTGATCTTGCTGATGTTACTAGGAGTTGACTTGTACTATGTTGAGAAATTGGCTCAGAGTATTATAACTGATCACGGGGAATTGATGTTGACTCAAGGGGAAATCGTTACCGGAATCTTACTGGGATTCGATTGCGGAAGAGATTAACGAGAGGCTTCAAGAATGTAGTCAGATTGCTTTGACGGAACTTGCTGCGCAATTGAATGTTGGTTTGGATTTGATTGCGTCTGTGTTGGAGCCGCGTCTTGGAACTATAGTGAGTTTTGTTTGTTTGTTTTGTTTTGTGTTGGTTTTGGTATGTTTTTGGAGTGGTAAGTGGAAATTGTGATTTGATAAATGATTGTTTTGAGAATAGGTTAAAGGAAGGCTTGAAGGTGGGCAGTTGTATACTCCTGCCTATGTTGCTCGTGTTAGTGCCATGTTCGAGGTGCTGCTAGGGGCATTACAGTTCCGACAAATTTGACAGTGTTATGGAGCCTCGTTGCAGAATTTACTGCAAGAAATGGATGGAGCCAGTGGTGTGGCTGTTGATGGATCTTTCTTCCAGTCTTTGTTTAATGGACTTGTGGAGGGAGGTGAAATTTCAGGGTCTGTACGTGCTGGAGTGCATTGGACACCAGCTGTGAGTGACAATGATTTGACATAGATTGGATATTTCTTTAATTGATGCCTGAATTTTATGGTTTTCATATTTGATTTAGGCATTTGGAGCTGTTCACTTCTTGTTACACATTATTGTTTAATTGTTTGATTGACAAAAATTGGGATAATTTCCAATTCTTTTGCTATACTCCACCTCTAATTTATAACTCTATAATCCTTTTACTGTTAGTGTCTATAGGGGGCAGTGGCAGTACTAGTAGTCAACTGTTGTGGCATATGCATTGATGCCATTAACTTAGTTCCCATATTAATTATTTGAAGTTGTTTATTGTGTTTTTATGTCACATGATAGGCATTTGCTGTTGCTCAAAAGGAATCTGTGGATTCATTCTTTTCACAAGTATGAACTCTCTCTTCTATCGTTTTCTCTTTTGCTTAAGATGCCAAACATTTCACCTAGTAATAATAGCATATGATCCATTGGTTTGAGCTAGATAACTGTCTTTATAGCTTTGTTTGAATGTACTTGTTTACTGAACTGCTCCATTCATGTTGTGCTGCATTTGTGTGCTTTAGAATTCTTTTATCAGCTATGACGTTCTGCAAAAACTTGGAATTCCTCAGCCCGGTTCAATTCTTGCAGGTAACTAAGTTGTTCTTATGTTGATTCTATATCCAAATAATAACCATTTGGATCATATATACGATATTTGTGAAATAAATACTCTGTACTAAATGTTTTCATAATGAAGCCTAAGTTTGCACAATCTAATTTAGTCCCAGATATCCTGAAGGCAAACCTCTTGTTACAACATTTGTTCACCCATCAATGATTGAGATGCGAGATGCTGCTACTGAGGATGCTCTAGAACGTGGTAGCTGGTAAGACACTTAGCATAAGCCCCACCCCAATCCTCAATTTCTGTTTCTGTTTCTGTTTCATCCCTTTTTACGTTGGTAAGTTGATCAGATTCAATACCTTGATTTGTCCTCACTCTTCCTACTTCTCTGCATCACCTAGTTGTTCGCACGCAGGGAAAAAGTCCAAATTAGATTACAAAACATGCTCATAGATAAGCTTTAAGGGGTCTTTAACGTGCTAGCTGTTT